GGAATCTACCCTCGCGCTCAATTTATGAGCGTTGAGGAGCTATTCGCTATTTTCCAATAGCCTACTTTAAGCCACGCCCAGAAAACCGTTGCTATTGCGTTTTGTTTTACAGGGTAATGGAGAAGATGATGCGCTGTCCACACGTGATACGTTGCTTTTAAATTTCGCGCGCTTCAGTCACTAACGCGTTGTTTCCTTTTTTATTATTTGTTGGTCTAACATATGTAACACGCGTTCAGTAGCTCAGCTGGCAAATGCTGGTGGCTTCAACATCCAAGACCTGGGTTCGAGTCCCAGGTCTGAATAATTTCAATATTATTTTTCCACATTAATTCCTATGCAGGCACAACATTGTGGATCACCGTACGCTCATCATATCAAACCATCCACGCGTCTGGCACATGCAAATCAAAGGCAGGGATTCAAAGGGCACAATAAACCCTAGTCAACGTTGCCACATGATGTCTGGGAGGGTCAACGACTCTGAATGCTATTGGGCTCAATTTACTTGATCCACACCTCCACTTTAGGGCCTGAACCCCCCCTGGTTTGCAATTTCCTTTTTTATTTATTTTGTTTTCAATTCTTATTTTATTTCTTTTATTGTTTTAATTAATAAATTATTTTTACCATGTATATAAAAATATCACAAAAAATCAGAAAAGATGACAAATATAATAAATATTTAACTTAATTATTTTCATAAATAAATTAACATGTAAATTAACTTAGTATTAATTTAGGTTGCAACTTTAATTCTTTTCATAAAAATATAAAAAATATAGAATTTAGGTTTAATAGATTTTATTCCTTTCAATTTTTTCTTTTTTTTATTACTTATTTTATTTTCACAATTAAATTGTACATAAATTAGCTTAGGTTTAATTTAGGTTATATTTTAATATTTTCATAACAAGCCTAAAAACCATTAGAATTAGGGTTAGTTATTTTCAATTAATTCTTTTTTCTTTTAAATCTTAAAAACATAAAAATACCAAAAAAACAAAAACATTTAATTTTAATTTTAATTCCTCATTAATATTAATTTTTTTGCAAAAGGGTCCAACGCCCTCGTTCGTAATTTATTTTATTCGCACATTTGTTTTATTTCGCTCAAATAATTATGTATCTCTCCCAAAGCCGTGTAAACAATTGCTCGCACTTTTATTTCTTTCGCTTTATTTACTTTCCGTCAAATCGGGTCCGGTTTAATTTTGGCGATGTGGACCCGCGCCATTTGTAATAGTCTTAGATTTATTTTCCCCGCAACTCTTAACTGTTAACAAAAGCATGAAAGAATGTATGGACTTAAAATAAAATCAAGCGTAGAACACCAATGAACATGACAAGACCAAAATATCTGAAAACGACACACAAATCACACACCACCCCTAGGGTACGCCTCACTGTTGCCTTGCCTCGAAAGGTGATCGTCGAGTAGAGGATGTCTTAGTAAGTCCTCATGATCCGGGAACTTGGCATGAGGATAGCTTCTAAGGTGTCTTCCCATTGCTCTGGTGATCACCATGTCCCTACCAACGAATTGACCCGAACACCTCCAACGGTGGTGCTACCTACCTCTCAATGGTGGGATGGCACTACTTTAAAGGATATTTACACAGACGAATTCCTTAGGGTAGGTAGGTTCTCAAGGATACTTGCTCTCTAATTTCAAACAAAAAAATACTTTTCACACCAACACTTTTCAAAAGCTTTCAAAGCAAATTTTTCAAACACTCTGACGTACGAGTCGAACTGAACTTTTTCAAAGAAACTTTTTAAAACCCACAATTGAAAAGCAAGCAAACATTTTTGAAAACACATTGAGCAAGTATCTAAGAGCCCATGGATAACCATGGATAGAAAGGGTGCTAACACCTTACCTTTCTATAACCTACCTCCCGAACCGAGAGCAATCTCTATAAGGAATTTTTCTGTGCTTTTGTCCTTTCCATTTGGAGAAAATAAAAGACGGTGGCGACTCTTGCTTCCGCGACATTTCGCGAACCAGCGTTAAACAGTCAGTTCCAGATCCACCGATCACAATATACAACAAACAATAACACATATACAAATAAACAAAGATAGGCTCAACCCACTTAGAGATGGACCAACATTTGGTTGATCTTTCCCCAGTGAAGTCTCCATTTCTATGTAACGGTAGAAATGTTGAGACTAATCCATTGGATTGACTTAACTCACACAGATCAAATAAAAATCACTGTCGCACTTTATTGTTTCTAGAGGAATGGGAAAATAGCGAATAACCCAAAAAGTGGGGTAGGGAATCTAGGTACGGGGGTTGGTTATGCAAAGAGAAGATATTAGCACCCTAAATATCTATGGTACTCCGCAGGAACCTCTTAGAAAATTTGTGTATTTTGGCTATAAATGTTGTATACAAAAATAGATGATGGGGATGAGAAAAGAAGTATTTTTACAATTATGTACCCTCTGCAGTTGTGAACCTTTAGTGCCTATGTACCACCTTCCGTGCAATAAGGGATCAGGTTACTCGTAGTTCACCTTTAAAAAATTTAAAACGCAAGTGTGTTAGTTAATTTTAAGAGACAAGACATCATCGTCATATCTGAGTGAAAGACATACTTACTACCCACGATTATGAGAAAGGATAATTTGTGTCATCTAAAAGTGGAGGATACAACTTGGATTTTAAAGTCAACAAAGCCTCACTCAACACCCAAGTGGAAAATATCTCACTTCATTATATATTATATAAGTATAGTAGCTCGCGTCACTACAAGGATTAACAAGAGTCTAATCTTTTGAGAAAAATTTTAAGTAAAAATCCAAAATGGCAAAAATGGTTTGAATGAGATTAATTGACTTTTAGTCTTATCACAAAAAATGTTAAAGTATGATTAAGTTGGTTAAAGTTTGATTAAGAAAATATTTTAAAAAATGCATGGAACTAAGTCCAAGTTTATTGTGAAAGCGGTTCAAGTTAGAAAAACAAGAATAGCTTTTGAAAAACAGGGAGAAGATTTTAAAATAAAAGAAGATGGGAGGAGATGAAGGAACTATCCTAAAGTATAAGGTAAAAGCTAAGGAAAAGAATCGTATAACCAACAAGGAGCTAACACTTGACATACATAGTCAACGTAGAATTCTTATCCTTTGGATTGAAACCAAGCAAGCAAAGATACTAAACCTCTTAAGAATACCAAGCTTCAGATGCATTAAGTCTTCACAAAAATTGGGCAGAGTAACGGTTGTATACAAAGGAGTTCTCAATCACAGACAAAGCACATAATCAGAATAACCTGCACACAAAGAAAATCAACCCAATGTCTTGGGGGGTAAACCCCAAGAGCTTCAGACAAAATAACAACAAAACTGCAAGGTCCGAAGGGGTAATCAAGGATTCTAATCCTAAGTTCTACAACTCCATAATGCCAAGGATGGTAACCAAATAGTCCGAGTAACCTTAAGGTTTTTTAATGTTTAATTTGGTTATTAAGTGTCTTCAAAAATAAAATGAAAATTTCAAGTGAGCAACACAAAAATGACATAAAGATAAATGCTCAAATGAGCAAAGATGAAAATAGCATGAAATGTAAATGATAAGATAAATGGTGCATGAAAGTAAAAGCATAAGGTGAATGGCATAAAGTAAAAGCACAAAGCACAAAAATAAAGTTAATTATTAATGCATTAGAAGTTAGAGGTTAGCTGAATGACTATCTTTAAACTTGCGTTTGAAGACTCATTAGAAGATTGATAACATCAAAGCTTCTCAACAACAAGTCTCCTTTGCTTTTTGTCAAGTATATCATTCAGTTCAAGTTCTCGAAGCGATAACATATGATCAACTATGTTTAAATGATTCGCTTGGACCAAAGTTTATGAAGGTTCATTAGAGGATTGATAAGATCAAAGCCTCCTAACAATGAACCTCAAGGTCGTTGGATTAAAAGTTTCTAATTAAACATACATGGGTTTGCAAATATAGGTTTGAGCCACAAATGATCATTTCTCGAATCGAGACAAAATTTAGTGCTATGTTAAGCAATCGTAAGTGGACTTATGTATAAGTCGCACCTATTTTGAGGTCGGTCAATAGCAATGTATGTACTACACAAGTTAGAGATGTGATAGAAATCACACTCATGAAACTTATAGCACAAGAAAAGTAAAAAGAAATAAGATGGAAAAGAAATAGACAAGGATTAAATTCCACATTTGAACCAAAGAATTTAATCTAACTATCATTAAAATTATTCATCCATTTTGGTGGAGTTGAACTCAACATCCAAGATCCAATGATGTTAATGAAGCTTATAACCAAAAATCCAATGATTCAATTCCAACAATAAAAATATACAAGATATAATTGCAATTAACAAAAACAAAAACAAAAGTATGGTTAATTAATTGGAATTTATTGATGAAATACACATAGTGTATCAAAAACACAAAATAAAAACTCCAAGAAATTACCATAAGCCAAATACCAGAAAAGAAGTATTGACAATTTTTTTCAGAATTTTTTTTATGTATAAAAGTATTTTTTAATTAATAAAAACCACTAAAATAAGTGAAAAATAATAATAAATAGCAAAAAGTAAAATTAAATTCTGAAAAAATTACACAAAGTAAAAAATGAGATAAATGAGTTTTATGAAAAAAATTTAGAATTTTTGGACGAAAAATAAATTTATTATGAATTTTTTGAAGTTAAAAAATGAATAAAAAAAATAGTAAAAGAAAAATTAAACAAGAATAATGTCAGCCTTTAGATCTGGTCAACTTAGATGAAGTATTTGCATCAAAAGGTCCAGATTTAAGACACACAGTAAGTACAGTAGACTGACATATGGAGAACCAAAACTTGTCATCTTCTCAGGTGTGATAACAAGTGGCTTAGATGACCACTTGTCACCACCTCAGGCGCCGACATGAATCCCAATGGGATAAGGGAAGAGAAGAGACAAAAATCAACACAATATATGCTGTGACCTTGAAAATAACCAACATTATCCAAATTTTGTTATATATTTTTTTATAAACTTCCTCTCTCCTCATATCAAATATCATCATCATTTTAATTCCTTTAAACAGAGCCAAACAGAAACAAAACAAAAGGAGGAAATAAGAATGCGGCGACCGAAGAGAGATTCACGGTGGTGCTCGCAGTGGCCGGCGATGAAGTTGCGGCGGTGCCACCGCGAGGAAACTCCAATTTCATTTTTTTTCAATTTTTTTTTTACTTTTCTAAATCATATTTTCATCCTCTCTCCAAATATCACCATGGTTTCCAAAAGGAGCAATGAAAAACTGTAGATCTAAACAAAGGTTTTCGGAAATAATGTTTCTCAAAATCAAAGATCAACATATAAAAGAGAGAAATAGAAGGTGGATTCGATTTCTTGAGAGGAATATCAACCTTTTAAGGAGAAGAAGAACGAAAAACGACGGATGAAGCAGATTCTGGCGCGGTGACTGCAATTTCCGGTGAGTTAGAGGGTTTCCAGCAAGGTCCAAGGTGAGACTGTTCCGGCGAGCTTCAGTTTTCAGGTGAGTTTCGTTTATGTTTTTTTTATATTTTGTTCTGTGATATTAATCCCCTAAAATCCTCTTAATCAGTGAAAAATTATTTCTTATATAGAACATAGGTTAGGGCTTTTCTTGAACAAATTTTGTTTTTTGTCTGAAAGGATTTGTGAACTGATTTGGGCTGAAGAAAATGAGAAACAGAATTGCCAGTTTCTCCTTGAACAAAAGCCCACTCGGAAATGCTTGCTTAAGTCTGACCATCTGTTTTGTTTTCACTGTTTTTATGTTAATTCATGCTTGTAGCAACTGGTTTTTAAATCAGAGTCGTCAATATTAGTTTTTATCCTAGGGAAGGGAACCTAACAGAAAACCCTAAAGCGCGAACAGAGATTCTAGGTTTCGGACTCAAATAGACAAAAGGAAGGTGTTAGGCATCTTTCGTCTACCTTGTTCACAAGGATATTAGCCCTAAGTTTAGGATACTACCCATTTGCGAAAAAAGACTGTTGATTAGCTTAATTTGTTAGTGAAAATAGTTTGAGATTTGTTTGTGTTTTTTATTGTGTTAATTGTGAAGAAGTCTTGATTAATGCATGATTAAAAAAACTTAATGCAAATAGTATAGAAAATAATATATGCAATTTTTACATGAGAATAATTTACTTTGTCATATAGTAATATTTACATATAATAAATAATATTTAAAATATGGTAATAGAAATTAATAATAATTATAATTGTCAATAAATAATTTATAAAATATAATAAAAAAAATATAATAAAAAAATATATAAAAGAAATAATAAAAAAATAATGGTTTAAGCAAACCTAGGGGTGCAACCCCAGTTATGAAGTAAAAAACAGGGGGTGTGGCTTAGTAATCTGATCGGGCCCGTTACAATTCATGCAAGGAGTGGGAGTATTTCGTTTTGGATTTTTTAGTAAATCGCTGGAAGGGGGTGTGAAACGGATTGGGCTTGGCCCATAGGTGAATTGGAGAAGGCTGAGGGGTTTGTGTGTTGCGCGGCGCGTGATAGTTACGGTACAACCTAGCCTAACGGCCGTTTGATGATGATCAAGCGAATCTAATTAGAGGGGCATGCTAGTTACAATGGACGCACAAGTATAGGATTAGACGGATAACATAATTTTATTTTAACTTTTGTTCATTTTCAATTTTGTTTCCAGTTACATTTCACAGAGCCTATCTCTTTCTTTCTCTGTTAGTACCCCCTTTCATCTTCTTCTTTCAAAAACCCTAGCATCCCAATGTGTCACAGCGGCACGGCTTCAGCCCTAACACCCACCTTTCTCTGCAAATACCTAACAAACCCCAATCTAAAAACAAAAAAAGAAAAGCTAAGTATCAATTACCCTCTCGCGATTTCTGAATCTTGAATTTCTTCTGATTTTTCTACTAAGCTTGCTTTGTCTTCTTTGAGTTGCAGATTACAGCGGAAGAAAGATGCTTGAAGATGATGATGACCGACGTGACAGCGGCGAGCGGGAGGCAAACGACAGTGGTTTAAGGGGGATTAGGGTTTCTGATCTGGAAACTCTAATCGCCTCTCCTTTTGGATTTTCAACGCAAGGGTTCGCTTTCTATTTCTAAATCTTCTCTTCCTTTTTCTTTGTTTTACTGTCTGCAGCACCCAATCCTCCCTTGTGTTCTGTCCATTCTCTTTATTTATAGTTTAGAATTTTAGGTTTTCTAGTTTTGCAGTTACCGATTATTTGATTTAGGGATTTAGATTGTAATTGATTCAATTATGTAATACACAGATTCGGTTTAGATTTGAGTTTGTTGATTTGTAATCTTGATTGAATGTAATTGGGATTCAGAGATTTGAATTGAATAACATTGATTATGTATATTTCTGAGATTTGATTTTGTTTGTTCCTGCAATCTGAACAGTATCTATTTGTTCCCTAAAACATGCGTATCTTTTCCTCTGATTGATACAGTGACAATTTGTAACTTGGGCCTTGCACAGTGCATTCTTTTTCTTCTGCCCAGCAAATATTTTTTTCCTGATTTTGGGCCTAACAACGTTTTCTGCCCATCACGTGTTTTTTTATCTATTGCAACAACATTTCTTTTGGATACGTATTGGGCCCATTTCTAACCCAACAACTATTTTTCCAAACACAATCTTATTTACAAAAAGATCTTTTAATTTTGTAAAAATAATTAATAAAATAAAAAGGTTGTAATAAAAAGTGTTTTAATAATAATACTTAAAATAAAACAGTAACAACAAAATAATTTCTAAAAATGACAAATGGGCCCATATTGCATCCATTGTCTGGGCCTTAAAATGAATTATTACGCACACCCCCCAATCAAACAAAATGGGACAATTGAATCACCTCAAGGGCTTTTTGATTTGAAATCGTACCTCCCTTTTATTACTTAACAATAACAAACTTTTAATGGACCTTCTTATATAATTAAAATATTACCTTTCTTGAAATAGACTCTCATATTAGAATCTCATGGGCCATTGGCCAACATGCTTCGCGAATGGGCCTATGGGCATACGGGTCTTTATGATTTAGAAAGCCCCACTCCCTTAAATTAGGATACACCCCTTTGTCGATTTGAATTCTTATAAATGGGCCATCAGATATTGATGGACCATTTTCAGTTGAAACACTTTTCTTTAATTTTTATCTTTAAAAAATACATAGGGATAAACCTAAATATAATCATGAAGGTAGGGAAAATTTAGGTTACGACTGATGCCCCTATTCAATTATCTTTCAATCAAATAGCGTGGGAAAACTTGAGTCTCGCGCGTTTGGATTGGAAGTTTATTGAATACTTGAAGTATCGTAAAATTTGTGCGGCAAACATAAGGTTACGTTGATGTAGCATACCCTTATAAGTCTCGAGGCAGTAGGAAAAGCTGGTGATATATCGCTTACCCGGGTTTGATGATGAGGCAGAAATCGCCATTTTGTATGTCTTGGCTTACTCAACAATTTGGAAGGTGAGTATAGCAATGGTTGATGAGGTATGGCTGTTTGAAGACTGAAGCCATGGGCTACGTTCGCGAATCGCTGCATGATGTCTGAGGCGATGTTTTGAGCATGAATACATTGCAGCTTAGAGGCTATGTATTTGAGTTTGAAGAATGCATTGTGGCTTATAGGTAATGGGTTGATTTGGTTGATAGTTTGAGTTTGAAGAACGCATTACAGCTTAGAGGCAATGTGTTGGTTTAAAGAATGCATTGCGGCTTAGAGGCAATGTGTTGGAGTTTGAAGAGCCCATTGCGGCTTAGAGGAAATGTGTTGGTTTGAAGAACGCATTGCGTCTTAGAGGCAATGTGTTGGTTTGGATGATACATTGTATCTTAGAGGAAATGTGTTGAGTTTGGATAATACATTGCGGCTTAGAGCCAATATGCTGAGTTTGTGAATACATTGCTGCATAGAGGCAACGTGTCGAGTTATGTTTTTTTTAAGCATGTCAGCATGAAGTCTGAGACGATGGTCGATGTTTAAGGAGTAACTAAATATATATTGCTGCAAGAAGTCTGATGCAATGGGTACAAGTTTTGTTTTTTCATCATGGCATGAAGTCTGAGACGATGATCAGTGTTTATGGAATGAAAGAAGGTGTTGCTGCTTGAAGTCTGATGCAACGAGTTTGGTTCGCGAATCGCTGCGTGAAGTCTGATGTGATAAGCTGAATTTGTTTTGAACATCGTTGCATGGAGTCTGAGACGGTGGTCTGGAACTTGGCATAACGAAATACATTATTGCATGAAGTCTGAGGCAATCGATTAGGTTTGTAAATCACTGCGTGAAGTCTGATGTGATAAGATAAATTTGTTGTTTCGAACATCGTTGCATGAAGTCTGAGACGATGGTATGAAATTGGGTAGTGCACTGCGGCTTAGAGGCAATGTGCTGATTTGGATAATATATTGCGGCTTAGAGGCAATATACTGAGTTTCGCAAATACATTGCGGCTTAGAGGCAACATAATGGGTTTTTGCGAATACGTTGCGGCTTAGAGGCAACATACAGAGTTTAGAGGATATATTGCAGCTTAGAAGCAATATACAGAGTCTTGACAATGCGTTAAGGCTTAGGGGAAATGTACGGAGTGTTGAGAATTCATCGTGGCTTAGGGGCAATGTAATGGGTCTTTGAGAAGATGTTGCGGCTTAGAGGCAACATAATGGGTTTTGAAGATATGTTGCGGCTTAGAAGCAACATAATGGGTTTTGAAGATATGCTGCGGCTTAGAGGCAACATACTGAGTTTGTAAGGAGCTAATTACTGCAGGAAGACTTAGGTGATGGGTTAAATGTGTCACGGCATGAAGGCTGAGGTGACGGGTCGAATCGTAGGAAAATTATTTTGTTGGTTGACCCTTAGATAGCTAAATCTAGGGTAAGGCTGTTTGTCTGTTTTCTATGTGATACATGTCTATGCATGCATATTTGTGGTACGGTGGGAGAACTGACTTGAAGGTTTTGCGTTTTATCACAAATGTTGCGGTTAGCAAGAGTCGCTACCGACTTTTCTTTTATCCAAAAGGAAAGGTAAAAAAGCACAGGAAAGACCTTTGAGATTGTTTGTTGAGTTCGGGGAGTAGATTATGAAAAAGAGGCCATTGTTTAGGCAATCTATGTAATGATTCTCGTTCGTAAGAATGTATACAAAGATGTTTGTCTTTTTGAAATTTTTTCAAGTTTGTAAGATGTTTGAAAGTGTATGTGATTGTTTTAAAAATAGCAAGGATATTTGTTTTGAAATGGAGCAAGTAACTA